GGGGGCTGATAATGTGGGCGAACCTGCCCCAGGGAAATGAAGTAAGTTCCCGGCTCCTGGGAGGGAACGGGGGAGGACGGATCCGCCCGCGTCTGACTCAAGCCGGGAGAGGAATATCCCCTCGCTCGCTCCAGCCCAGCCCTCTTCCTCCTCCCCCGCCCGGCCGCACTTACGCACCCTCTGGGTGCCCCAGCGCCTGCCCCCACGTCCCTGGCTAGTCAAGCGCAGAAAGATACCGGGCGCGGTGCCTGGCGTTCCCTCCCTCTGCTGCCCCCTGGGGGGCAGAGGCGCCCCGGTCGCCTCCCCTCGGGCTGCGGCGTTACACAACCGCGGCGGAGGCGCCGGCCTCGCAGCAGCGCGGGGCGTGACGCTTCACGTGGCCGGACTCGGGTCGCGGCGCGGCGGGCGGCGAGCCCCTCTGCCTTGGCCACGGGACCGAGACCCGGGACGTGGTGTGCTGGCCCAGGCCCGCCACCTCGCTGCCTGCCAGAAACTTCTGCGGCGCTGTTCGCGGTCTGCACCCAGGGCTGGAGGGAAGACCAAGGGGGGAAAAAAACCCCAACAAAACCCAAAACCTCGCATTTCGGTGAAATCTTAGCACGCACTCCGTCCACACACGTTGGTTGAGCCCCCCGCTGTCTGCTGGGCGTGTGCCCGAGGCTAGACACGGTGGTGACTCAAACGCCTATCCTGCCCTTGAACTCGTGGGAACCTTTGAGAAGAGGATGGGTTGGCAATGAGGGGAAGGCCGCCCTAGGAAAACTGTGTTGGGGCTACTGGCGGACAGAGGGAACAGAAGTTTGTTGGTCTGTGTTCTGGGTTTTTGCTTTTCATACTAACCTCTAAGCCTGGGTAGAGGAAGAGGGGGGAGAAGCTAACCCGCTGCCCCAAGTCTGGGGCAGAAAGTCCTCCAGCGGCCCCAGCTGTCTGCAATCTCGCTCAGGCCGCCGGAGGCTCCCACCCACCTCGCCTGGAAAAGTCCGGTCTCCGTGACCTTCCAACTCAGCCTGGAGCAGGGAAAACAGCTGAAACTCCAAGCCGGCGGCGTGAGCAGCGCTGATTACAGTCACAGGGGGGAGCCAGTGGAAATTCATGACTAAAATAAAGCCTGGCTGGGGATTTCACTGACCTCTGCGCTCCCCTGCCTGCCAGTCGGGGAGTTGAGAGATGACTGTAAGCCTTTCCCACCGCGCCTCAGGTCAGTCACCCCCACCGCTAGGTGACCTGGCTGGGGAAGGATGGGGAGAAAAAGGGAGTCGCTGCCGGGACGGGATGAAGATTCGTCTGGAGTGCGGTTGAGGGGTCAGCCTTACTTGGCAGTGTCCTTGGCGACTAGAGAACTGGGATTCGCACGCTGACCAGACTGGGAGTGTGTTTCCTTCAGGTGGCTTTGGAGAGCTCCCACTTCCTGTTTATGTTTCACAAGCGTCAAACTCATTAGCAAGTGTGAGAAATGCCTCCGTTTCTAACAGCCAACTGGGGTGACCTCACTGCGGGGCCCCAGACATCCCTCCCTCCCACAGTGTCCTTTGCTGGTTTTTGTTATCAGCCATCCCTCTGGAGGGAATGGCACCCAGCCTCCTGTCACCAGGTGGGCAGCAGGACCAAGGCCAAGAAGGTGACCGGCCTCCCTGGATATGTTCTTTCAATCTAGGGCGACCTTCTCCATTGTGTGACTTTAATAAGGATGAAGAGTTGTCTCGACTGCGTTAAAGCCAGTTCCTCCAGGAAATAATACGCCCTGGGAGAGGAAGGGACCCACATCCCCACTGTTGTCCCGCCCCACCCCACCCCCCCATGCCAGGAGCGAACCCAGACATTTCACGTAATGTGGCTCATTTGCTATCATTCTTCAAATTCTTTCAGTTTGCCAATTCATCTTGTCCTTACCTGCCTTAAACTTGTAAATAAGATGTGTGTGTTTCCTATTTGGTCTAAATATACTTTCAAACTTCCAGAACAACCCTCATCTTACCAAAGTTCTGGGGTAGCTGGGGTTTTTTTAAGCTGTTTACTTCTGAATAACTTACTTTTTATTACTCTTCATTTTAACAAAAATAATTCCTTTCCAGCATGTGTCTTTCCATCCTGAAAAATCTCACCACTGGAATCTAATCTTCTGTAGATAGACAGTTGTTCAATGTTTACTGTGTGCTAGTTTTTAGATCGTATGTGAGAATCTTTGTATATGCTATTTACTCACCACCACCTTATACACTTGGTACCGGTATTATTAGCTCAATTCATTTAACTTGTATTTATTGAGAACTCTACTTATTTTATTTATATTTTATGTGTTGCCAGACAATGAATTAGGTCTGAGAGATATACAAGGAAGGGGTCTTCAAAATGTTCATGGAAAGGTCCAACTTGTAGCATGGTAGTTAAGGCACTGGATCCCACAAAGCCAACAGTATGATTCTAGGGGTGCTGTTTGAGGCCTGACACTACAGCTGGAAGCCACAGATGTGTGTACATGCTTACCCAAAATTGGGAAAAGAAGGGCGAAACAGAGGGGGAGGGAAGAGAAGGGATTGCAGAGGGACCATTTCCCCATGGAGGTTGCTTTCTCACTTTCTCGCCAGCAAGTGCTAGCACCCTCTGGCAAAAATAAGTAAATAAAACCTCATGGAAAAATGCTTATTATGAAAAAACTGTGCGTGGGTTTCAATTTTTTTTATTTTTGCACTAAAATAAACTTGTACTTTAATTTTTTCACAAACTTTTTCTTTTTAAAGACCCCCGGTATAACTTATCCTCTTTGAGACCTAGAGCTTCAGGGAAGTTAAATAACTTGCCCCAGATTATATGGTCAGGAATTAGATCTTGGATAAGACCTCATGTCTGTTGGACTACAAAGTTTGTGTTCCTCATCAGTATACTGACAGCTACCTGTTAAGGTTGTACAGGTTGTGCACTGCTCAACTCCAGGGGGAGCCATTCACACTGCGGTCTTTATGAGCAGCCCTCTGGAGTTGTGCTTGTGGACCGTACAGGTGCACTGAGGAATCCTACCATTCTTTAGCCTCCTGCCCCCCACCCCCACCCCGTTTTGTCTCTCCTAATTGCTGAGAAAATAGAACTGTACAAGAGAAGGATGGGATAGTTCTCTCTCCTGGCAGGGCTCAGCATCTTGGTGGTATGACACTGCGTGCTGGGAGAATCAAGGCTGTTATGGTGTGTAGTGACTTCCTGGCCCTTCCTGTGTAGAAAATTAGAGCCTAGAGCTACCCCTCTCCCTATATCTCTATACCTTGCTTGCTTTTATATCTTTTTTTTTTTTTTTAATGGTTGTGTGTGGGCACACATGAAAGAGAGAAAAAGAGAGGGTACCCTTTTCAGGGGATCATCACTCTGTGATTCCCTTTCCCCAAACCTTCAGCTCCAAGGGTCTTGGGTAACCATGACGCATTTGGGACCTTCAACCTGAAACTATGGTCAGCCACGTGGCTTCCAGCACCGCAGTCTCGTACCTCAAGCAATGTGCGAACTGGCTGGGCCAGATAGCACTTTTTGCCTGTTTATGAAGCTTCAAACATTTTTATCATGGCTTCCATTAAGAAATACATTTTGCATCATGGCTCAGTATGTGCACACATGTGTTGCCATCATTGCTCATTAAAAAAAAAAAGTTAAACCACGTAGGAACATGCTAGTCCAATGCATTTTAAAGGAAATTTTCACAGACTGATACTTCCCCTTGATATATGCCGTCTATTTTCTAGTCCAGTCTAGTCTATTCTGTTAAAAGAAAAATATTCTGGTCTTGATTTACTAATTTGATTTCACAGCCTACCCGTAGATCCTGGCCTGCAATTTGAAAACTTGCTCTATGCTAGAGATACTGTTCTAATTTTGGCTTGTCCCTACCAGAAAGAGATCAGCAGTTTCTTCCAAATCACTTATACGAATGCTACATCAGACTGTCGGTCCTGGTTGGTTTTAGTGGTATCTCTGGAAGAGCATTTGCTAATTCTTACCTTTTCTCTCTATATGAGCGGACTTTGAAAACTTCATGGAAAATGGAATTCAAGTACAAGTTTATTGGGGAGCAAAAAATTAAAATGAAGACTATGTATCATTTTTTCATAACATGCATTGTCCACGAATGTTTTAAAGACCTCACCTCTAATCACCCTCTTCGTTCTCTGCTGTTGTATTTCTAAAGTTTGTTTATTAATCTCCTCCCATCGGGAGGAAAGGAGAGAGAGAGTATCCCTAGCAGGGTCTTGATGCTTTCCCTCAGCTTCAGCCAGCCCTAGGTCATGGCCTCACGTGTGCCTGAATCACCCAGAGAGGTCTGTGGAAGCAAACCTGGAATCTTCCCGTATGGGTCAGCCTTGCATAGTGTCATGTGTCACATGACAGCACAGTGTCACAATGGCCACTGTGTAGTCCCTGCTTTTTTTTTCCTTTAATGCCATTCAATTGTTTTATTGAGATATAAGCATACAGTAGAGTACACAGATTTTAAATGTTGAATTTGTAAATTTGATAAATGTATACGTCTGTGTAGCTACTACCCAAAACAAATAGGGAACATTTAATAAATTATTATTATTTTTAAAATTTGCTATAGAGCATGTGTACTCACCAGAGAGAGCAAAAGAAAGAGTGCAAGCTGCCAAGTTAGGGATTTGAACCACAGTTAACCATATGAGAGTCCAGCACCTCAATCACCACACCACCTGCTGGCCCCAAGATAGGGAATATTTTATCATCCCAGAAAGTTCCTTCACATCGCTTTCCAATTCATCCCTCCACCCCTACATTCACTTTCTGATTTCTATGACTATA